GATTTTGCTTTTTTGCGAATTGTCATTATTTTTTTCAGTGTGAAAGAGACAGAAAGAGTTACAGGTTTTAGATTTGCTTATGTGCAAGAGTTAACGCTTTTTCTATCTTACACATTTATCACGGTACTTTCTTGTATAAGTTATTATTTTTTTATTTATATGACTAATTTTTTCACCGCGCGTTTTCGTGGTTACCATAATGAAGACCGAATTGTGTGATTGCTTTGGGGAAGCAACAACTTTTTTGCATGCGGCATCCTAATGTAGGTATACCTACATAAATACAATTGTACACAAGATAATCTTAATTTTCGCAGATACAAACATAATTTTAATCCTGCAGTAAAGGTTGCATGAAATTCCAGAAACCGTAATAAGTTTGTTCTTCCTGGAATTTATACATATTTGACTTGTGTGACAACAGGTATGCGGCATGAAACTGTTGTCTCATGACTCATGCTATAGCCATTCTAGTAAAGAATGAGCCATGGGCTGGTTTATTTTGAGAATGATGGAAAAAGTTCTTTTCCATATTGCGCAGTAAATATAGAAAAACCTTTTTAAAATTTTGACTTTTTAATTTTTTTAACATTTTACCATAGAAAGATCACGCAGAGCCAGATTGGAAATGCCCATATCTAATCTTCCAGGTGCATTAGACCATGTCAAAAAAATAAATAAAGTAAAAAAACCGGACCCCAACTCAAATTTTAGTAACTGATGTAGTAATGATCCTCCATGAATCTTCCCTCCACGATAACTCTAAGAGGTCGCGCATCGAGCGTTGATACAAACAGGAATAACTCGTAAGAAAATGAGTTATTCTCTTTTGAGGTCAATATTATTTTCTACGATCAATCAAAATATCCGAAACTTGTAAAGTTTCAAACTCTATAAAAAGTTAGGAAAATTCAACTAAATTTCATTAAAATTTCAAACGTTTGAATCTGAATCTTTAGTATATTTTTGCCCATAAAATTTTAGTCATCTGAAGTGCAAGTTTTAAGCGGCTAAAAAAACGCGACCCTGAAGCAAAAAAAAAGGAGAAAACGTACAAACTCTCCTTTACCGTAAACGGGTAATCTTCGATGAAGACTTGCCCTTTTCGTATTTTTCTCTCTATTGGACTGGAGAGAAAGCAGTGTGGAAAGCATGTATGCTACATTTTTCGTATACAAAATCGAAAATAAAAAGGACTTCGACGATATGACGAAGATTCCTATAATTATTTTTTAATGCAACTGTACATACATTTTCACGTTAATACAACAGTTAACAAGAGAATCTACATATGTATGTATATAAAATTTCCTCGGATTTCTACTCGTCGCACGTGCTTTGGAACAAATTTTCGTAATTTTGTTAGCTCTTAATTTTTAGTGCGTTTTTCATTTTAGCAATTAGCTTTAAAGTCTCCTCGCTCGCCATTGAAAATTAATTTCATATTTTTGCTCATTACTAACGCGCTCACAGCAACAGTGACTCGAAACAAATGCATTCCACTTTAAAACCATTGTTGCTTTTATCTGGTAGCCAGTGTTAAGAATTTCAGAAAAAATCATTTGTCGGTCATTCAATACTTTTAGGTGACTTTTTGTGTGTCATTGTTCGATTCAAAATTAAGTTTTAACCTGTTGTGCTGCTGTCGCTGTCGCTGCTTGTGGTAAAAGTGGGTCAGCAGTGCTAACAGTCATTCCACCGCAGAAGCTAAGCCGCCACCACCAGTATTGCCGTTTTGATACATATGTATCCAATTGGATACATTTTCGCCTTAAATTTTTAGGGATACTTCGTTTTTTTCCACAGTGTAAACTTGGATACCTTTTCCCATAAGTATTCGTAAGTTGAAGGAATTTTTTTATTTATGTACGAGCTATTATGACGTTTTTAACAGTTGGTCCAAGTCCAGTCCAAGTAAGAAATTTTCCTTTATTCTTGCCACTTTGAAAAATTAATTTTTTAGCTACATAAACTGCATCTAATAACAACAAGTAGTTTGCAAATTTTAAATAGTTTTCAGACCTATAGTAGTTTACTGTAATGCGATAAAATCAACTTTTTCATCCTGAGCAACCCTTCTCTTAGCATTCAAAGTAAATTGACAACTAGAGATGGGCACGGGCCGGGCTTTTGTCAGGTACCTGCGTAAGCCTGCGGGTACGGGCCGGAATATTTGCTGTCAGCACGAACTCGTGCGTGCATGGGCGTTCAGTCAAATTTCATAAAAGCACGAATAGGCACGAAAAAGACCGTTGCTAATACTACAAATTTAGATAAGCTTTTGTTTTTATGCAAAAAAAAATAGTACATATTAAAACTCTTTTGATAAGAGAAAAAAATAAAAAATACCTTCCACTTTTTCTAATTCCCAGAAAATATTTTATAAAAATCTTTGATGAAAAAAATTGATTCGCTTAAGTAAATATACATACATAAACACAAAATTAAAATTATGTACATATGTATACACACAATAAAAGTTGGCTCTTTATTTCCGGGCTGGGACGTGTCCCGTCGTGCAGGGCCGGGCTCCACGAAAATTCTTAACGTGTGGGCTCGTGCGTGTTTTTGAAAGTTGATTTTGCACTCGTGCCGGGCCGGGCCTGAAAATTTAGGCCCGTGCCCATCTCTATTGACAACCATGCCGACGACTAATTTTGAACAATAACTTGACTGTACTAAAAATAACTTATAACTTCTAAATATGTCGTTAAGCGAGAATTCAAACAAGCCGGGAATAGAAATTTTTCTTGAAGGCGGAGTTTACAGGCAAATGTAAGTTTTTCAGAATTTTTTTAATTTCAAAGATAGCTCATAATCCACCAGTTTGATGTAAAAACATTGTAACCATAATAGCAGGAAATAACAATTTACTGAACTAAATGTAATATGTCGAAATTAGTTTAAATTACTATTATGTGTTTTGATAGACTATGAAACCTTTTCTGCATGTATTATTTGTGGCAATCTAATCGCAGTATTAAACATTGAACATGAGGAAACTTCGGCCCGTCGTTTTAGTCAGTATTTTCCATTCTAAGAAACAGATCTGGGAAACAAAGTCCCGTAATTATAGTCAAAATTAAGTCGACACTTAAGTTAGTTGCAGCTTTTTTGACAGGTATCCCATTGAAAATTATGTCAAAAAGCTGCAATTAACTTTAGAGTCGACTTAATTTCCCATAATTTTCGGGCCTTTGTTTCCCAAAAACGTGTCTAAGTATGGGAAAATACTGACTACATGTTAATAAGTTTGTTAAGGGGCCAAGTTTCTCTTGCATAAATGTACGGTGTAAAAATGTCCGCTCTTTTCGGTGGATACATTTGGATACAATTTTCTATTTTTTATGAATACTATAAAGGCTAAGGTAGTGGCAACACTGGCCATCACTACAAACAATAACCCACTCATCAAGCGTCGAAGTTTTGTTGTTAATGGATGTTGATGCTATTGCGACTGTGACTGCGGCTGCGACTGCTGCTCTCGCCAATATTTTTTGCATCTTTATCTTCCGTCTCTTTATGCACTTGCACAGATTTACACAGATGGGTATTGCAATTCGCTTCACTTTTTTTTTGCTTTGATTTGTTATTTTAGTAGTACCCTCCAATTTACGCTTCAGCTGCTTTATTTTAGAAGTGAGTTAGTGGTGTGCTTGCTTGTGCATCACCATCACTTAACATACATAAGTATGTAGATATGTATCTGCACATACATACTTCGCTTGTGGAAAACCATTTCGCACTCATGGAATGTCGGGAGTGTTATGAAAATAGTAGTGAGTGCTGTTGACAATATTGCGGACAAAGCGAGCTGCTGATTACCTCCCGGGAAGTAAATCTGGATTGGTGTCATTGTTGAAATTACTTCCACTCATCTGCACCGGAATCAATTAAGTGGAATAGTTTTGTGGTTAAGTGGGAGTATGGGTTTGGCATGTATCTTTTGGTTTTATTCACTTAATTGTCATAAATAGTATTTTGACAGGTTCAAGCAGGCGATTTAGCTTACCCAATAAACTAAACCAATACCGATAAAATTGCGCGCTATTATCCGCGTGTATTGTTTTTTATTTCCTTTAGTATTATTAGGGTAATTAACTCGGTTTTTCCAAACAGGTTTCAACCGGGTTTTTGAATACTTTTAGGTTTTTTTAATCTTAATTTTATAGTCGAATAAACCAGTTTTTCATGCAGTTTATTATATACTAGAATCTAGAAAAGAAATGTATATCTGAATACTGCAGAAAATTACTTCCCACTGCAAGGAAAACTCGAACGAAAATCTTTCACTGTTGTTTTTGTTGTAGCAGCTTGATAACCTCTGTCTAAATCAGTAAATCGACTACATGTTGTCTTCATTCTCATCTAAAAGCATAGAAAGATGGTAGCGTGTGATTGGGCCTTATCAGTGTGGCTTTAGGCCTGACAAATCCACCATAGACCAGGTATTCACAATACGCCAAATCTTGGAAAAGACCTGCGCAAAAAGGTCTTAGTTTGAAAGTAATTTATAAACTATTTAGTTGAAATTGGCACTATTTTACCTGCAACAAACTCCTTTATTTAATATGTCGATGCCCTAGGAAGCATTCAATTGCCTTTTCCTGTATGTATTTTCAACTACTTTACAATGAATTTGACTTAAACAACTTCAAAGTCAGTATGTTTCGTTTGAATACGCTTTCATCTACACTTTATAGATGCTTTTTCATAACTAAGAAAAACCGAAATTAAAAATTTAAAATTAAATGAGATTTGAACATGGACATTCTTTGCTGGGACCAATTGTATCAAACATCTTTGCACGCTCAGCTACAGCCAGACATGTAAATGTGCTTTCAAACGTTCAGTTTTTATTTTAATTTTATTTGTATTTACATATTTAACTTTACCTTATTTTATTCTCATTTGCTTTATTTTATATCACATTTTTTATTTTACTATTAGTTAATTTAAATTTTTAGCGTTGAATTTTTTAAAAAGCCAACAACAGCTAACTGAAAGGAAGGTAAAAAAATATAGAACTTATAAAAAAAGAATTAAAACGAAATAAATGAAAATTCAACTGGCCGTGGGACTCGATCCGCATTACTGCCGTCTGTAAGGGTAATATTATTATGCCCATATGTGTGCCAGATTATATGCATAAGCTTTGCCGTCTGCTTTAACTGCAGTTGATGCGGATCAAGTCTAGAACTAATTGCAAAAATTTATTCGGATCAAGGGAATTTTCGATGACAAACGGACAGCTGTTGTAGATTGTACAAGTAAGCAAACAAAGCAAGCAAGTTTGGCGTCCGCGTTAGCCGAGTGGTGAGAGCTGCTTCCTACAAGTCCGCAGGTCTCAGGTTCGATCCTTTGTTGGAGCGATTGCAACATTTTTTTTTTTGCTTTTATTATTTTGTTTAATTTTTTTTTTTTATTTGATGTATATTAGCGTGGGCCGAAAATCCGGTTTTTTAGAATCTCGATTGGTAATAGCAAAAATATCGTTCATTATGCTCTAAAAAATATCTGTGTGCAATGTGAAAATTTTTGGTCAATATCTTAGGCTCGCCCAAATCCATCAAAGTTCAAGTACTAAAAAAAATTTTCTTAGCTAACTTCGATTCTCTACAAATCCATATACCAAATTATGTAGGACTAATACTTTAGAAGATTAGTGCAATTTTAGTAAAAAAATGTATTACTTTATTTATTAATTTTTATTTTTTGGCCATATTAAACTTTGATGGACTTCGACGAGCCTAAGATATTGACCAAAAATTGTCATATTTCACACAGATTGCTTTTAGAGCATAGTGAACAAGATTTTTGCTATTACCAATCAAAATTCTAAAAAAGCGGATTTTCGGCCCACGCTAATGTATATATGTTTTTTTATTTTATTTATCTTACGGGTGGTATTACTACTTGCGAAGTGAATGAATTTGGCGAAACAACTAAAATATGTATTAATAGTGTTCGCTTGTACGTGCTTGTGCAAGTTCTTTGCCTCGCGAGCACTCTTGATGCTTTCTCTGTCCTTAATTCGCTTCGTCGAACCGTTCGCTTCGCCAAATTCATTCGCTTCGCAAGTGATAATACCACCCTATTATTAGTAAATTTAAATTTTTTGAGTCTAACTTTATTAAAAAGTCAACAACAAATGATAATAACGTTAAAAAATATAGAATTTATCCATAATTGAATGAGTAAAAAAATAAAAAATTCTACTGGACGTGGTACTCGAACCCACAACTTTCCGGCTCGTTAATCCGCATTGTCGCCGACTGCCAAGGCACGAGTTTGATCAGATCAACTGTGCCGTTAATCCGAATTAACGTTGCCGTCTGTTTATGCTTTAATGGCAGGCTCAGGAAAACGACGAGTTTGGGCAGTTAGATGAGCTGATGTGTGTAGAGGCTATAGTGTCGTCGGGGCATCTTATTCAAATTGGACTGAATAGTTTAACCTACCACAATATCCAGTCAAATTATCCCGAGCGTCAGGAAGCAACTCCAGCTCTTCGCCTGCGAAAGGTGGCGTTGGTCTCCGAATTCATTTTACACTCCTTTTTCTGTTTTACTTTTAATACGACTTGGTCTTATTTTCTATTACTTTTTTCTAAATTAAAGCTAGGCCTATTTTTAGCAGTCATTGTGATTTCCGACTAACAGTTCTTTTCTACAAAGAGGTTGCCGTTTCATCGCTCTCTCCTTACAGCCAGTTTCACCAGATTCATTTAAGTTAGATTTTCGAAATTTTTATTTTCACCAATCCATTTTAATTTGTTTTTAATTTTGATTTATGACCTATGCTCTTCACTTAAATAAAAATTAAGTCTGAATAACCACACTCAGAGATGTTACACGTTTAATCACCTGACCTGAGGGCTGACTTGTATACCAGCCCTGCTATTACAACACAGCGTGCTGAAGCTTTCAAAAGCTCTCTTTACAAATGAAAGCTTTGGCTGGCCTAGTCTGTTTTACAATCACTTTTTACTCACTTAAATAAATAGCTTATTGAAACTGAAAATAATTTAAATGAGAATTAAATAAAAATTTAAATTAAAATTAATTTTCACTTAAAAATGAAACTGGCTGTAGTATTTGTACGTAGAGGGCCCTGAGAATGCAACATTTTTCGGAAGAAAGGAAATCGCCATAGATTAAACCGGGTTTTTTCTTAACTTAAAAGTGGGGAACTGTTTTTTTTTTAATTGCCATTTTTAGAATAACTCGAAACCCTATTTTCGAAAAAGGCGTATAATCGAAAAACCTAGTATTTATGTATGCGCTCGTTTTATAGTGCTCTCTCATTTTACAGTGCACAGAGTTTTGCTATTCTGCCGTCAGGATTTGATTGCGGCAAGGTTGGGCTTCCCAGGCAAGAATGGGAGAAAACATTTTGTTGGTTGACTCTGCTTGTTTCCCTTATGACTCTATACTTTGAACACCTCCGCGGAAAGTTACTGGTCGTGTCGAATACTGTGACAACTGAAATGTTGTAACAGGTATATTGAATTTCAACTTAGTTAAGATGCCAATACGAAACTTAAGAATAACGAATTGGCTGGTTTTAGGGAGGAGCATCAAAACTAGCTTGTTGTATGAGGCGGTTCAACCCTGTTGAAACAGAACGTTTCCTGAGCCTACCGTTTGTTGAGCTTGATGAGAACGATTGAGGGACAACCCGATTCTAGGCAGGGCTAAGTACCCGCTACAACAGCAACAACGGCCAGAATTGGCAATGTCATCGCTAAGAAAGAATTCGCTTTGGAGATTTTGGTAGACATAAGCATCTTTTAAGCATGAAATATAATCTGCGCTCGTCGTTACGATTTGGGCAGAAGGGGGTTCAAAATGTCGCGTGTTTCATTGGAGCTGTCTTCAGGGCAGCATGCTTTATCCATTGCATTGGAATTTGTTTCGGAATTGATTTTCTTCTTTTCAAAGTTTTCTTCAAACTAATATCTAATGACCTCGACAGATTACGGTGAACAAAATACCTTCTTTGGTAAGACTTGGAGTCTATATCCGAGAGGAATCCTACGCATTTAGCCTCTTTGACAAGGCTATATCCTAGTGGACTAGAACACATAACAATCAGTGCCGTGTGAAATCTGCTTACTAAATTTAAAATAATGATTGCCATGTGCAAACTGCAACGGGCTTCTCCGTCATCATCATTGTTGGTCTTTTTACCCCGGATTATCTTCGTATCATATAAAATGAATTCTGCAGCCCATAGCTTACATTAGCTTCGCCTAGTCTGCGGTTATGCTTTTAGCCTCCTATTGTAATCTTAAGATTTCCTATGCAGTGTGGCCGTTTTGATCCAAGCGTATCAAAAGTGATACAATTTTCGATAAATTTTGGAGGGACACTTCTTTTTAAATTTTGATACTTTTCCAATCGTGTTAAAAAAATTCCCGTAGAAGTCGAAAGACTGGCCAGAGATGTTTATAATTTCATCGCGCATAGTGCTAAAAGGGTGGATGAATTTTCCAAGTACTACGTTGGTGTTAAAATCGTAAAATTTTTCGAGTGTCGAACATTCGCTGGTTATCGCTGAATCAAGCTGTTGATCGTTTAAGGCCGGTCTACATATTTAGAATTTTCGCGTTGGCGTTGATTAACAGCTGACTATGAATACACACAATAGTGAGCCCCGTTTGACCTTTCTGTTGTCAATATGTATATACCAACTAGATACGGTATTAAGTGTAACCCTAGTCTACTAGATTATTTTATCATTCCTGACAATTTATCAATATTAAAGTTGGATCAACTATCATTTATTTCGGATCACGACATAATTTTCTGCGCGCTTGATCTTAATTTTGGTCACCCCAGGACCACTGGTACTTTTTCGTATAGACACTACCGAAGGTTTGGTACTTTTTTTAATGTTAATGAAAAACTAGAATTTCTTATCAGAAACTTATTGACCCTTTTTAATAAATATGTCCCAGTACGACATATTAAAAGCACATCCTCCGTGTCATCCTGGTTTACGGGCTATGTCCGGGCTGCAATCAAGGCTCGCAACAAGGCTTTATCTGTATGGAAAAGGCATTCTAACCAAACTAACTGGAGTCTATTCAAAAATAGCAAGAAATAAAGCTACATCGGCTATAAGAGAAGTGTAGGTATTATTCGAAGAACCTTGATTCCTCCCTACCTCCTAACGTGTTGTGGTGTAACCTTAAACGCTTACGAGTATGTGGAAGTGAAGATGTCGAATGCACTATAGACGCAGATACACTCAATAAAGCGTTCATTAGTAGTCCTTTGTGTGATTTCTACCAACAATGTTTTGTCCCCTGTGATCATCTAATTTATTCTGGTAGCACATTTGAGTTCTTAACAGTGTCTGAGTGTGATGTTATTAAAAGTATTTTAAAAATAAAATCAAATTCGTGCGGTCAGGATGGTATACCGTTAAACCTTATTAAAATGGTACTACTACTATTATCAGTACACACATAATTAATCACTGTATAACCACATCGTTATTCCTGATCAGTGGAAGGTGGCTTTAGTGCGCCCTACTGCCAAGAAGAAGGGCGCCGAGACTCCATCCGACTTCCGCCCTATAAGTATTTTACCAACGTTGTCAAAAGTATTTGAGTCTTTAATGGGGGAACAAATTACCCGTCATGTGCAGGAGAAGAATCTGTTTTATCCGCTTCAGTCTGGCTTTAGGATTTGTCACAGTTGTTCAACGGCTGTGTTAAAAATTCTTGATGACGTTCGTTCTTTTTTCGACAAAGGTTACCTTACGTTACTATGTCTCCTTGACTTCTCCAAAGCCTTTGACACTGTCGACCACCATATCCTTTGTCAAGCTCAAGCGTTATTTTGGATTCAGCGAATATTCTCTGAAACTTATGACGAGTTATCTAAAGAACAGATTTCAATGAGTTACAATAGGGAATGAATCCTCACAACCAATTAAACTAGTTTTTCGGTGTACCTCAATTCTAGGACCTATATTCTTTGCCCTATTTCTTAATGATATCTTTTCGATGTGTAAATTTGTTAGTATTCATGCTCATGCAGACGATGTCCAGCCCTACTTGTCAAGTTCTTTCGAAAATGTTAATGATCTGTGTGATAAGATAAATCGGGATATTTTATCAACACTGCACTGGGCAGAAACCAGCCGTCTTTGCCTTAACCCAAATTAAACGAATGTACTGCCTATCTCTGAAAGAAAGTTGGTTGTAGATAACATTCCACCCTTTACATAGGTGACAATCCAATTGCTTTTGTAAGTAAAATTACTAACCTAGGCTTTGTAATCAACTCGAATTTAACATGTGGTGATCATATAAATATGGTAATAGGTATGGTGTATTGCGCGCTACGTAGTTTAAGACATTCGTCCTTGTTTACCCCGGTTAACGTCAGATGTAAGCTTGTCATTCAATTAATGATACCTGGGCTCGAATCGTCACATACGATATCGTATTACTCGTCACGTAAAAACACCGTTTTCGGATTATGACATACGTGAGCGTACTCTTTATCCCATTCAGCTTATACGACTGACGGTATCACGTAATTTTCTTTCCTATGGTTTTCGATCCGTGAACGGATGTTACGATTCGAGCTCTGATTTTACGCACTCTGCACTCATCTGCAACAGACTAGACTCACAGTCTGCCCATAAGGTTCAGGTTATTTTTAATAATATCATTCGGTATGTGCATGGCCTGCGTAAATTTGACCACATATCCCAGTGGAGATTTGATCTGTAGGGCTGTCAAATCCTGTAGCTCGTTTCTGTAACAATTCTCTACCAAGACGAATTGAGATATGAATTCGCCGCCCTGTTCTCTACTGCTAATTGGTAGTAAAGAATGACGTATATTCTCTATCAGTAGAGAAATAATCAGTATGAAAGAGTTACAGAAACGAGCTACTGGACTACATTGAAGCCAGAAGCTGTATCTTTCTTTATCGGCTTATGCTAACTAAAACGCCTTCATATCTCTATGAGAAGCTGAGATTTACAAAATCGTCCCGTTTATACGATTTAATTATATCCAGCTTTAACTCTGTAGCCTCGACTAGATTGTTTTTTGTGAACACTATACGTACCTGGAACTCGATACCTACTGCCGTAAGGAGTACTATAAACAAAAGTAACTAAAGAACTGTTTTTTATAATTATTTTTATCAACTTATCTGGACTGACCATCTTATTTTATTTTATTTCAAATTATAACTGCTGACGTAGCCTTAAGTATATACATATCTAAGCCTGCATTTTTAATATCAACATAGTAATGTTTTTGTAAATGTATTAACAACCTGAGTTCCACTCTATCTGTTGTACTATAAAATATTCAAAATCTCACTGTACTAATTTTCTTGTTCAATAAATGACAATAAAAATATGGACATGTCCACATATCAACGGCAACACACAAAAAGATGGACATTTATTGATGTAGAATACGTCTTACCTTAAGGTATGGGGGCTATGTTCAAATGTTGTAGTTGTAATTTTTAGAGCTTCACAAAAACGCTTATTGCACGAGAACTAATAAAGCGATTTCAAAGAAAAGTGTGGCGTTTCAAAGATAAAATTCCAAACCTGTCGACAGATTCATTTTTGTAAATAACCAATTCGGTTTCTGTCGTAAAAACAACGGTAAACATTGCCTTATTTTGGGGTCAATTTTGAGCCTTTAAAGTGCTCTAGCAACTTATTGTTGGCATATATAACTTTCATTTTCGGGATATAGGTTCTTTGGAGCAGTAGAAATATTATCGGGTACAAATTTTATATAAATTTAACAAATATTGAGCATTTTAAGGCAAAAAATTGTTGAAAAAATTTGCAAATTTTTTTCATTACCAAAATGCTCGAAAACCGCTCGAATGATTTTGTTTTTGTTTTCTTTAATCAAAAATTCAAAAGTTTTCCTTTCGTTTGGTATATGGGAAGTATTGGTTGATATCTTTTATATATGTTTATTTTATTCAAATATATGGGCATAAATGATTTTCCATACAAAATCACCTCGTCATCATTTTGCAAACACGTGCATATGTTGGAAGTGTGGGAAGGAGACAAAAAGTATGTATGCGTATGTAATGCGGCTTTTGATAAACAGAGGCGCGCTATTTATAACCTAATCGCAGCGTGTGTACATATGTAAATACATACATACGTACATATGTTGATTGCAGTTAATGTGGATCTGTTTCTATTTTTAGTAATCTATGTATGTCTATACATACATATGTACATACATATTATATATGTACATACATATATGAACACATGTATGCATAATACGCGAAGACTTTTCGAAGTGAAACAACATTTAGAAAAAGTCCAATCCAAGAATAAAAGTAAAGGTGAGGACGTACATAGATAAAGAAAAGGATAAAGGCCAAGGTAAAAATAAACACAAAAACAAAGTTGAGTAAAGATAAAGGCAAACATGAAGACCAAGGTAAATTTAAACACTTTACTTATATGTATAAGTGCAAAGGTGAAGGGGAATATGTATATGAAGAATATGATAAACATAAAGATAAAAACAAAGATAAATATAAAGAAAAAGATGCGGATACCGATAAAAGTATAGATGAAGATAGAGGAAGAAAGATTAAAATAAAGGTAGTTGTAGAGAAAAGGATATAGATAAAGGCACAGAGACTCAATCTCGGAACTATTTCGGGATTTTAGGGATTCTCGGGACTTATCGATATAATCGATATTTTGTTGGGTTTTCTTAGTGTGTGATTTCGTTTTTGACTTGGATATGCTCTTAACCATACCACGTATTCTACGTTTAAATATAGCGGCTGTATCTCCGATACAGCCTGCAGACCAAGACGAAGGCGCTGGACTGTTCCTTTTTATACTAGAACCCAGTTGAACTCATACATGCGACACATTTTCGATATTATCATTATACTAGTACCAAGTACAACTCATACGTACTATATGTACCTTTTTTGCAATTAATAAATGTAAATTTTTTTTGAAAATGGTTTTTCATAAATATTATTGGTTTTATTCAATAATGATACTTTGATACTTAAAATAAAAAAAAAAAGTAATATACATATATTGATAAATTTTAAGTATCTTCTTGCTACAATTTTTCACAATCCCGAGGCCACACTGTTCCTATGTATTGCAGGGCGAAACCCTTTTTAGTTCTTGCTGGTATGTCCCTGGCCTGAACGAGTTTGAGATTTAGACGCAACTTAAGCACTTACCTCAGTGATGTCCTTACGCAGAATTTCTTTTAACCATTCGTCTTCGCATCGGACTAGGCTATGGCTTGTAATGAAATGCTCAGAGTCGAATCGTTATCGTGGTTGACTAGAATTCGCTATATTACCGAACGGGTTTGACACAGATAAGTGCCTATACAGCCGTTGCTTTTGCAGCAGTGTAGCACATTCTTTGATATAACGCGCGTATCTTTGCAGGGCTTGGGACCATTCGTAAATTTTTTTGTTTGTATCTCCTGCTTTGCTATTTTGAATAAAATAATCTCCTGTATCCGAATATGAATCCCGATTTACTCTATCAAGAAGTAAAAACATTCATACCGAAATTTATTTAAAAATTAGAAAACTCTTAAGTTGTTTAACACTATTGTTATTTAGCTGTCACCGGAATCACCTTTTTTGCAGAAAACTTGTTACAAAACTGCTATAATGGCGGTACTACAAGCGATATTCTTGGGCCAGAAACTGACGATCCTGGTGATGGTTTGGGCCCATTACCACCAAAGTGGGAGACAGCTTATACTGAACGTGGTGAATTATATTTCATCGAGTAAGTTGTCATTTCCTGTTTTGATTATAACAGAATAGTATTCAATATTAGCGATCATTATACCTCTTCCTTATCTCTTAGTCACAACACTGGCACCTCACATTGGCTCGATCCGCGACTGTCTAAATTCCAGAAGAAGTCGCTTGAAGACTGTGGGGACCATGAACTGCCTTACGGTTGGGAAAAAATCGAAGATTCTCTCTATGGCACTTATTATATAGATCATGTCAATCGACGCACTCAATATGAAAATCCCGTATTGGAAGCTAAACGGCGAGCAGCTGAGCAGAAACAAAAACAGCAAAATCAACCGCCACCGCCAGCGCACACCCATTCACAAAACCAGCAAGTAGCCAGCAAATTACAGCAGTCGCCGCCACCTAACCAGCAGTTGCAACAACGATCGCAAACACCTTCAACTCAATTGCCGTCTTCAAACTTAAATGGTAGCAATGCGATTGGTGGTAATGATGTCGATCGGGTCACTACGGTGGGTATCAGTATGGTAGATGTAGCGCAACGTGGCATGCAACCACCTCCACCCAATGCGAGTTTACCAACGCCACCAACGGCAATGTTGCCATACAAGTTCACGCGAAATCCCAGCGAGATGCAGGGCGAACGTATCACAGCGTCGCTGATAAAGTCAGCGCGTGGCCTGGGCATTACTATAGTGGGCGGTGATGACGGTGCCGAGGAGTTCCTGCAAATCAAATCAATTGTACCACACGGACCGGCGTGGCTGGACGGCCAGTTGCAAACCGGCGACGTGCTGGTATATGTGAATGATACTTGTGTGCTCGGATTTACTCACCACGAAATGGTGAGTTTGGGTATATAAATATACATAAATTAGGATCAATTTTATTTTATTTAAAATTTTTCATTTTATTCCTCAATTTTTTTATTTTATTTCTTATTTTTTAAATTTTATTATTTTTATTTTATTGCAATTTTTTTATTTTATTCCTAAATTTTTTGTTTAATTTCTTATTTCTTAAATTTTATAATTTTCTTATTATTTTTTTATTTATGTACATATGTATGTATCAGTATTTTTTAATTTACTTTATTTAATTTTTTTTATTTATTTAATTTTTTTCATTTTACATTTTTTACATTTGTTATATTTATTTTTTATTTTTATTTAATTTATTTGTTATATTTTTTTTTAATTTTTTTTTTATAATTTTTTAATTTATTTATTTTATTTGTATTTATTTATTATTAATTTTTTTATTGCACGTGAAATATTCGTCAAATGTGGAAATTATAAAACAAAACTTTGTTAGGTCAACATTTTCCAATCCATTTTGCCGGGAGAAACCGTTACTTTAGAAGTATGTCGCGGCTATCCTTTGCCATTCGATCCCAATGACCCGAACACAGAAGTGGTCACGACTATAGCTGTGGACGGCATGAGTGTTGCAGCGACAGACAAACAGCGACGGATGTTGCTGGATCTGCACATGGATGGAAATTACAATTTTCTTGATAATAGTGGTGGAGGGGAGGGCGCTTCAAAAGCCCATTCGTACAATCACATACGTAGTCAGCACTCACCTGCCTCTGGCGGCTTGAATGATGGCTTCATATTAATGAAAAAGCCAGAGCCCCAAGTGCATACGTTTGCCATTGTAAAGGGATCCATGGGGTTCGGCTTTACCATTGCCGACTCCGCTTACGGACAGAAGGTGAAGAAGATCCTTGACTACAATTCTTGCACTCAACTGCAAGAAGGCGATGTTCTATTCGAGATCAACGGCGTCGATGTGCGCCAACAGAGTCATCTCGAAGTTGTGCAAATACTGAAGGATTGCTCGAAAACCGAACCTACCAATGTCAAAATTCAACGTGGCGGTCCATCCAACAACAGTGCCAGTGCGTCGCCATCCGGCGCCATATATAGTACCGTTACAAGTAACCCACCACCTACCAGCACCTCAAATAGTAACCAAGGGAATGTCGCAAAACTACGTAAAAACTTCACTTCGGCACTATTTCGCAGCAAGACACCGACCGCAGATCTCTACAGCACTCAGCAAAAGGAGATTCTACCGGTACGCCCTAAAACGCCATTGGTAGATACGCGGCGCACACGAGCGCAGACACCTAATGATGAGATCCAACATGGTAAAGATATCAACGATGGCACTTCTTTGGGAAAAGACGATGGTAGATTGTCTACAAGTAAAACCCAATTGGAGTCGGGTACACTCAAATCAACAAGTAGTCTTCAAGAGATCGAAGCAATCAGTCAAGAGATACCGTTTTTGGATCCGTACCCGAAATTAGTCACCAGTCTTAGTGAGAGATTGGCTGGAGCATCGCTTCTCTCAGAAATTACCGGAAATACTGGCTCTAATGGTGTTAGTGCAGGCTACCACCACTCCGGGGGACTCTCACTGCCGCCCAGTGTTGTTGACTCAATGCGTTACGATCACCAAGAGTACGTAACAGCTGGCGTGCGTGGTGGCAATGTGATCTACGGCATTTCACCACATCCTTCCAGTATGAATAATTTCTATGCGACGCAACAGTTGCCCACACCTCCTCATCTGAATATATCTGCTAGCAGCTATTCGCCATCCACATCGCTCAGTCTGACAACAACTTCTGCCACACAGCATCATCATCCACTCCAATTGCCGCCACCACCACCGCCTCATCCACACCCCCACATATCACAGTACTCGCCCGTACCGTTGCATGCTACAACACCTCTGCAGGCGGCACACATACAAAATGAACGTATGCAGAAGCGTGTAAATGAGCTTTTAAGCGATCGTCGTCGTGTTGGCTTTTCCGCGCTCGATGTACTGCAAGCGCAAAAGCATCCGCCTGCGATGTATGGTCATCACCAACTGCTGCAACAGCCTCCAATGAACCAGCAACATTCTCCTGCTGTTAGCAGCGTTTCGCAACAAGCACCGCTCTCCTGGCTGGGAGCTGGAGTTTACCCTAACACATCACAAGCATCTCCTGGTGGTAATTTGCCGTACATGCAACGTAACGGTGGTGCGCTGGATACTCGGGATGAGTTGTCTACGGATCAGTATGAGCTAAGCGAGGTTACACTGGAGCGGCAGGCCCTAGGCTTTGGGTTCCGCATTGTCGGCGGCACAGAAGAGGGCTCACAAGTGACAGTGGGTCACGTTGTGCCAGGCGGAGCTGCGGATAATGATCACCGTATTAATACTGGCGATGAGATACTCAGCATAGATGGAATCAATGTGGTAAGTAGTGTGGTATGATATGCTGTCTGTTGCTTTGTATTTTTTTTACAATTTGATTGTTTGGTAAAGGTAAATTCGTCGCATCACAAAGTGGTTTCACTGATGGGCGAGGCGGCACTGCGCGGTCAAGTAACGATGATATTACGTCGTCGATTAATATTATCACAGCAGCCGCACCTGATGCATACACAACAGCACCAACAACAACAACAGTTGCCCTTGCCCTTGGCGCCGCCGACGGCGTTAGCTGTGCCTTTACGAAGCGCGTTTCGCTACCCATATGACGTAATAGTTGGCCGACATGAGTCCGAAGGCTTCGGTTTTGTAATAATTTCATCTTCGAATCAGTTTTATGGTTCCACAATCGGTAAGTTAGAAATTTTTTATTCTTATATACAAAACACCGAAAGTTTTGAAACTAAAAAAATATTTTCTTCCGACTTTAGGCCTTAAATTTACGCCTTTAACATAGTTTATTCTCTTAAACCTAGACAAGTCTTGAAAACCACGAAAGTCTTCAAACTGAATGAGTTTTATTAGGCTGGGTTATTACTATCGTATAAGAGAAACGACTACATTCAAGAAAAAGAAGGTTGCTACTATCAGGCTGTGAAGGTGCTCTTTTGTGCTAATCTGAAACTGAAATTAATTTTATGTGGGAAATCTGTACATATCTGGTTTCAAAACCGCTAGTTTGTAATTTGAAAACTGTAAAACTTAGATATCAAACTAGTCGTGACTTTTGTCAAAAATTTGGCATTTGCGTTCTTTTATAATCTCTATACATAGCGTTAAAATAACCTACCACAAGCGTAGGCGATGAGGAATTAATTTGAAGAGATTGAATCGGCGACTGAATGCTCATCTGGCCGAATACACGAATTTTTCGATTCCTCGACGTTCTCAGGAATTGAAATTGTTTTTCCACCAACTTTAACGAATTTTGCATTTGTATAAAGTCCAGATTTCATAGCAACTGAACCAAATTTTGCGCTGCTCAATCTAAACCCCGTGCTTATCCTCTCTATACCAATACTGCTATGCTTGTACGTTGAAGTCCGTCTCGGTGGCATCGAATTGATTCCAATTTATTAGTAGGATAGAAAAGTAGCTTTTAGCCCAAGCAGTGGAAATGAGACAGCCTTGTAATGATCGACTTCACATTCAGCCTCATTGCGAGAGTCGTGTCGAATGCAAGTCGTTTTTCGAGAGTCGAATCGTATCGAAAATTTCATGTCATTGCCTAAAATGTCGACTGCATTAGAACGGAAAAACTTGGCAGCACAGCATAGTTTTCGACGATCTTCGTCGTTTACTTATTTCAGCACGTCAGTAAACAATTTACGACTTACGCAATGAGGCGGATTATCTATCTGAAAAAGCGGGTCGAGGGCTAGAGATTAAAGGTAGCAGCAACAAGAGTCGAGTAAATTTTTACGATCCCTTAATCTGAAAAAGTCCAATATTTTTTTTTTTTTTTGAATCTTCTCTTTTAATTTGTGATTTTGCATCTTTTGTTTATTATTATTCACCGACTTAAAAAAAAGGTGGATGTTATCAATTCGTCGGAATATTTTTCTATATATGTTACCGCATAACTTTAACCTATTTCTATAATTTTCTTTTAAGGAAAGGTGGTACCTCAGAGGTGGTACCTCAGAGGTGGTCCCATACTAATTTGATTTAGATCCGATCATTGGATCATGAAGAAACTAACGGTAGTCTTAAATTTTTATATGAGAATTGAAGCCGGTTTTGTTTTTGCGTGTTTTTATTTTTTTTTATTCTACTATTAATATTCAACAATTTTATTGAGCTTGACACCGTTTTTTTAACGAAAAATTATTGTGGAGAAACAACAACAGTTTTTAAAAAAGGTGGAAGTTTTAGCTGCTATTTCAGAGATCACCACATCTCATTAGACTTCCCCGTCGAATTTACTGGGACTTGGATTTTTCAATTTAAATTGTTATTAGGCAAGAAAACAAACAAAATTTGTATATTTAATATTTTCAATTGTTTTTCGATTTTGTGTTTAGCTTTTTTTGGTTGATACATTTTTTTGTTGATTCGTTTATGTTTATTAATGTTATTTGTTTATAACTGTTTGTTGTTTGTACATATGTATGTATGTGTTTTTCTTTTTAATTTATGGTTTCTTAAGATTTTTGTTTCCTTACATACATTTTTGTTTTTTTGTGTGGCTTTTTCTGTTCTTTTTTTAATTAATGCAGATATTAAAACTACAACCACAGTTTTATCCTTCGATAACCCAACTAATTTTATATGATTGAAAAATTCTTTTTATTTTTGTCTACAGGCAAATTGATACCTGGCAGTCCTGCCGATCGCTGTGGTGAATTAAAAGTAGGTGATCGTATTATCGCTGTGAACCGCATTGATATTGCCGGCATGTCACATGGTGATGTGGTCAATCTCATAAAGGAATCCGGTCTCCATGTACGTCTTACAATCGGTTGCCCGAAAGACACATTGCAGACACCAACAACTACTGGCGGCACATCGACATCAGCTCTACTCACCAACTCTGCACAAGTGTCACCAGGTCAGCTATCTCAAACACAACTCTTGTATACACCTTTAGCAACACAACAACATAAACCACGCACATCGCCAAACTTTTTGCCCAGCAACGATGGCAGTGGTCCTTCCTACTTTGTTGAAAACCCTAGAACAAGTGCGGCAGCTATCTTACCGCAACAATCTCCACAACTACAACAGCAACAACATCATCAACAGCAGCAACAGCAGTTAGCACAACATTTATGACTTTGAGACTTTCAAATAAGACTCTATAAAAGCTTCCTTTAACGTAGGAACGCTGTTTATGCACACATAAAAAATACGAATGACATTTCTTAGGTGAATCGGATTTATTAACCGACTACAAAAAGGAAGATTTTATCAATTCCTCGGAATATTTATGTTTTTGTATGTATGTTGCCTGATAACTTTGGGCCACGTGAACCGTCTTTGGTTCAATTCCATACACCGGATCATGAAAAAATTAACTGTACCCTTAAATTTCTATATGAACATTGAAGCTGTTTTTTTTTTTGGCTTAAAAGTTACTTGTTTATGATAAACATTTGTATGCAGGCAAGGCACTTGAAACAGGTAATAACTGTACTCCTAAATTTTTATATGATGCTTAAAAATTACATATACTTACTTATATATACATGTACGCGAATCAGAGTCCTATGGAAAAATGATGTAAATTTTTATTGCGTTTCTAATATGAAATATCCCGGTTCACAGTGCGGCCAAAATTCGAAACTTTGAAGAAATGATTCGAAATTTCGTACAAGGGGGTTTTCGGGGTCACTTCCCAATAATCATTAAGGTGAACGTTCGAAAATGGCCTTCGATATCCAATATGCATATCGAACTTAGAACGAAAACCAACTTCAGTTTTCCAATACACTCGAGATGGGTTCGAAAAAATGGAAACCATGGTAACAAGGGAGAAAGTGAAATCCAGCTAATTCTCGAAGGGAAATATAACACAATCACTCTCTCTCATTAAAATTTCAATCCGAGAATGGGCTGGACTTCGGATCCATAACTTGAGACTCGAAAAAATATTCCTTTTCCAATCATTTTCGAATTGCTGACCAAACCCAATGTTTATGGGGTTATTACAAATCCGCTGTCAGAATTGCGAAATTCCAAATGGCGGATCCAGTATGGCGTCTGGTAAATTTCAAGCTTTTTAATTAGATTTCTTAGAACGATTTGAGTATAAAGTTTTATAACCCACAAAATTTTAGTGTCACAAAGTGCCAGGTTGAAGTAGCTAGGTATTTCCGTTAATTTTTGTGTTTTTTTTTTTTTTGTTGACGGTGCCATTCATTTTCTTCCATACGAAATATGTTCGATGATATGAAGAAAATGAGCAACACCTTCAACAAAAAAAAAATCCAAAAATCAACCGTAAGTCCACTTGCACTTAAAACTGCATACTCAAAATCTTTCTGCGAAATCAAATTTAAGAGCTCGAAACTATTACATACAGGTGAAGCTAATACAAGCGTATTAAAAATAAATACATACAAATTTCAGTGGCAGATTTTATTCAGTAGGTAATACTTTTCTAAGTTACCTCCAATAGGTTTAAAGGCAGCATCCGACAGCGTGTTATTACTCAAATTTTTTAAAGAACCAAAAATGTCTAATGTTATGATTGGGCAAAGACCACATTCCGACTGAAAATAAAGAATCCCTTGGGTTACCGCCCGTTACTGTGAACGGTGTTCGCTTCTTAGATAATCCCTTTAGCCAACTTAATGATGAAAAAGCCCTGTCTAGATACATTTTTTTTTTAAATTTTGGCCGCACTTGTGCCCACTTGGACCCACTTGCAAATGTAATGCTTGGGAATGCAAAAAGTAGTGGATAGCCCCTATAACTTATGCACGAAAAGATGCAAGAGTTTCTGTACAGAAGGTCATACCACATGTCGCTTTAGAAACTATAAATGGAATAAAAAAATTAAGAAAAAATAAAGTTCGTGGCGTAGGTTTTGAATCCGCGACCAACAAGTTGGCTTACTATACATTATTACTTACTATACATTATCCGTTCGCTTACATTGCGATGCATCTTTTCGTTCAACCGTAGTTGTTAATCTTTTCTTGGTAGAAAAAGGTAATGCATTCCCATTTTCCCACTGGGATTTGTCCTTATTATACATACATAATTACATATTTGCAAACAATAACGTAAAGAGGTTGCGTTTATGTTGAAAACATTGGTGGGGTTGTGCCAACGATTCCAACACCATCTTTTGAAAATAATAAATACATATTTACATACAGATGCAGATGAAACTCAATTTCTGGTTTTCAATTTTTCTTTCTCAATAGGGCGTTATAAACCTATTAGCATTATTTTTACAAAAATGTCCCAAAGACTGAAATTAGCCGTGTGCGCTTTTATGTATATTGCGTGTTAAGCCACAAAACCAATATTTTTAAATCTACACTTTACAATTTAGTATTCTTTTTTATGAATGCACAAATTGGTTATTATTTTTGAAAGCAAAACTTAATGTTAAAATTTTGTTTATTCCATCGTGTACAATCTTATTACATTGCAGTTATATGTAGTAGCATTTATATACAGCATATCTTAAAATAAGTTTTAAAAATAAAATATATTTGTATTAAAACTATTTCAAAGTTCTATGCATATTCATTTGATGCTCTTTTTGAAAAACGTTCTTCAATTAGCATAGTAATTTTTTGCCTTAAATGTTAGTCTTTTAGATGCAATCATATTTATATAATTATTACATAAGTACAGTCAACATTATTCTAATGAATTTACATTTTCGCTCAAATGTTGTTGCACATGTACATTATAAAGCATGTTATAGTCTTAAGTCCCCAGTGTACTTATAGTTAAGTTAATAATAATAAAATTTACGTTGATAATATTTTGTTCTGAGATTTACACATAATTTAAACTGTTATATACACACATAAATAAAGTAAGGAAATAGCCTAGGACTATTCTTAGCACGGTCTTATATTGAAAATTAAATATTGCACTGAAATTTATTGAAAATTAATATTTATACACAAGTATACATAATCATCGCAATTAAGTTTTTATTAATTTGAATATTGTAATGAAAATGAAATGTACTTCAAAACTTTTTGTATGAAAATAAAATAGAGCAAAAGGAGTTTTATGACATATAACCTATTGCCCTTATTATTCTTAATGCCTTTTTGGTAGCAATTCAGCTACCGAGCTGATGTTACGGTGGGCTTTAATCTTTCCAGGTTTTATAATTTTAAAATTGTGGTTCTTGTTGCTGCGGCTGTTGTTGTTGTTGTAGCGGCACTACTAAGCCCCGCCTGTTTCGGGTCAACTTTTAATCATTATCGTCAAGCTCAACTAACGGTAGGCCGAGGAAACGAGCTGTTTCGATGGGGTCGGACCAAAGGGAGAGGGGTGTTAGTTGTGTCGGATTGAGCTGGCCTTTTGAGAGGTGGTTGGTGTCGTGGGGGGAGTCTCCACATGCCGGGCACTCATTTGGGATGTTTGGGTCGAGTCTGGTTATAAATGATATATTTTGAAATTTAACACAATAAAACCACGTTTCCTGTAAAAAAAATTAATATTGAGAAAATTTACCATTTTACAGTTTATTTTATCCTCCCATTCGTTAAAAATATCTATAAAATTATCGATGACAAGATCGATAAATAATCGATAAAAAATTTATAACAAAATCGATAAATAATCGATAACAATAACGATAACAAAACTCGAAAAATCTCTAAAATCCCAAAATAGTTCCCAGAATGAGTCTCTGTGTCTCTATCTATATCATTTTCTCTATAATTACCTTTATTTTAATCTATCTTCCTCTATATTCATCTTTACTTTTAGCGGTATCCTCATCCTCATTATTTTCTTTATATTTATCTTTGTTTTTACCATTATGCTTATCATTTTCTTCATCTACATATTCTCCTTAACTTTTGCCCTTATATAAGTAAAGTGCTTAATTTACCTTGGTTGTTGTTGTTGTTGTTGTTGTTGTAGCGGCTACAACAACCCCGCCCAGGACGGTTAGCATCTCAGTCGTTGTCGTCAAGTTCCACTAACGGCAACCCTAGGAAGCGTGCAGCTTCTGTGGGGTTTGTCCACAGGGACAAGGCCGTTAGGGTTGTCGGGTTTTCCGGGCATGCGAAGAGATGTTTCGAGTCGTGTGGGGTCTCTCCGCATGCCGGACACTCATTCGGCACATCCTCATTCAACCTACTCAGGTAGGAGTTCAACCTGCTGCAGTAACCGGAGCGAAGTTGTGCAAGTGTTGTGCGTGTCTCCCGAGGCAGATGAAGCTCCGTCTCGTCTATGTCCGGGGGTGGTATGCCTAGAACGGCATTCACAGGTCTAGAGTCTACATAACTCGAGACTGAGTCCCTGTGAATGCCGTTCAGGGCCTGTCGGTACGCTGTCGGGTCCAGAGGTTGCTTAATGAACCTCTGGACTTCGTCCGTCAGTTCATATAGATGCCTCCTGACGTGCCTAGGCGACGGCTCCTCTGCAAGCAGCTGTCTGCTTGGGTGGCCACTTCTGTGGCTCCCCCTCAGGAACTGCTTGCAGAGCATTATATTGTGCTCCTTTACAGGGAGCATTTGCGCCTCGCCGTGCAGGTGGTGTTCAGGCGACATCAGGAGGCATCCTGTCGCTGTCCTGAGTGCGGTGTTCTGTACAGTCTGTAGCTTCGTCCACTGCGTCCTACTAGTCCCTGGCGACCACACTGGCGCTGCGTAGTTCAAAACCGGCCGGCCTATTGCCTTGTATGTTGCCAGCAACGTTTCTTTGTCTTTGCCCCAAGTACTGCCGGCTAGCGGCTTGAGGACCTTGTTGCGGCTCTGTACTTTATTGACAATAGCGGTTGAGTGCGCAGAGAAGGAGAGCAGGCTGTCGAATGTTACTCCGAGTATTTTGGGGTTATTCACCGTCGGAATTGGTGTGTCATCGACGTGAATCCCCAGCGGTAGCCTGACCTCCGTCGTCCAGGTTGTGAACAGGGTCGCGGAGGATTTCATAGGGGAGAGGGCTAGACACTTTGCAGTGAAGAAGCGAGAAAGTTCGGAGAGATACCCGTTTACTTTCGAACACAGGTCATCAATTCCATTCCCAGTCGCCATGATCGAGCAATCGTCGGCATAAGAGACAATCGAGACTCCCTCTGGTGGTTGAGGGAGCTTTGAAATGTAAAAGTTAAACAGTAGCGGGGAAAGGACACCACCCTGAGGAACCCCCTGTTTTATTTTTCGCTGCTTACTCGTTTTGTCTCTAAACATTACCGACGAATGTCGACCACTCAGATAATTTGCCGACCACCGTTTGAGCCTCTGTGGGAGAGAGGAGGCTTGCTTGTTGTTGTTGTTGTAACAGCATACAAACTCCCCAAAGACTTTTTGGGGAGTGTTGCTGGAGTGACAGTCCTTGGCCAGATATAAATCTGGGTCGTTCCGGTTACGTAGACCCGACTGTCGTGGGAACGGGAGGCTTGGTCTTCATTCTTGCCTTTATCTTCACACATCTTTGTTTTTCTTTTAATTTTTACCTTTGCCTTTATCCTTTTCTTTATCTATGTCCGTACTTACCTTTATTTACTTTCATTCTTGTATAGGCCCTTTCTAAGTTTTGTTCTTTAGCCCTTTATTAGCAAGTTTTTGTTAAATTAATAACATACATTCAAGAAGCACTTGTTTCCGTCCCAACGATTTCCGTTGCACCATTTCCGTGTGCAATTTCCGTTGAATTCGCCAATTTACTCCCGACCAACCCACCGCCGCTAGAGAAGTTTCACTTCAAAATATTTTTTCTCGAATTCAAAACTATCTTATCTTTTAAGTTGGAACCAACAATACATACCTTGCAAAATTTTGATGACCAGGTGGTCCACTGGGTCGTAGTTTTAAAGTATGTGCAAAAGGACCAGGCTGCTTACTAGTAACTTGTTAACCTTTTCGTGGCCCATCGGCAATGGCCAGGGTCCAAAAGTAGTAGTTGTCTAGGTGGTCACATGTTATGCAGCGGAGGGCCAGAAGTGGCCCCATTTATGCAGCCTTGGACCAGAGGTGGTCAGGTCCAATGACATCGCAATGTTAATGTAACCATATTTTCTCCATATATTTGGTCCATTTCGGTTACTAGTGTTGGTTACAAAGTAGCGTGGTCCTGTTCTAGTGTTTAACCTAGTCCCACTTTTTGCAGGGAACCTACAAAATTTCAATGAAATCGGTTAAGCGGTTTCGGAGATTAGCGTAAACGAACACAGTGACACGGGATTTATATGTATATATTAAGATTACGGTTCCTGATTATTGATATGTATCATCGAAATCCGACCGTAAATAAGAATTTTCTGAATAACTGGACTTGGATCCAATATCTCGTTTTCGTAAAGGCTCGGCCAAACACTAACATATGTGTAAGCGCCAATCTATATATATATATATTTTACATTCAGATTCATACTTGTGAAAAACTTGTGATATACTAACTCGTGCGACGAGTATTTCTATCATATAATTATTTATATTAGGGATGTTTTGAATGTGGAATTTTAGACATCCGCGGATGCGAATGCGAATGTGAAGTATTTTAAGAAAAAATTAGGTGAGTACATTAGTAGATTTAGGTAAATAAAAAATTAGTAATTTTTAATAATGTTTTTTTTTTATTTATTTAGTACTTAAATTAAAAATTTGGAACGTTGCATTTAATAAAGAGTAATTCTGCTGCCTTTTCGGGTTACAGCCTGCTTCTTAAAGGGTCGTAAATCAAACCTGTGCCACTAAATAACTACTCGCTCGAGGCGACAAAATGGAAGAACTAGAAACTTGAAAAAAATTGTTAATTCTTTTCGATTGAGATGACTTTCAGTTATATATTTTTTTTATTGCGGTGCAATAATTCCTTTTTGAGGATTGCATCGGGGATGCAAATGTCGAATATATGGCGGAGTTGCATCTTCTCAATCTAGCATCGTGGCAAGATCGTTGTTTAAACACCGTTGTTTTCCAATTTTGAGAACCAATTCTTTAGTTGTTTCAGAATTTGGGAAACCTGTTACGTCATCAGCGTTTTTCGATTTTAGTTTTTGTAAGTCATCTTTAATCCTGTCTTCTGTAACTGGTTTGAAAAATGTGTGCTTATAGCGAGGTTCTAATTAAAAATGCAAAAAAAAGCCACAACTAACTAAAATTTTTTATTGCATAAAACGATGTGGGGACTTATGATTCCATAAAATGCATCATAATCAATCAAAAACTGAATTTCGGATTTTTGGTTAGTTACGGCTTTTTGTATTTCAGCGGCGATGTGAGTTACGCCCTTTCCATATCATACTAACGATTAAAAATTAATATAAATGTTATTGTTTTCGAGCTGAAAGACTAATAAAAGGAAACACTAAGAAAAAGTAGTAAAAATACTAGCGATGCATCCAGTTTTTTCTCAACAGACCTTTGACGAATAATATTCGATATTTACATAATTCTTACCGAATTGAAGGTTATCTTTTAACGCACAAATATTCGATTCTCTTTATAGCTAGACGTTGAACATTTCTGCTGGAAATACCTTTTAAAGGATCTTACTCTTTGACTTTAAATTATAAAAGATGGGGAACGAAGGGGGACAATTTTTAAGTAGCATCTCCACAAGAAAAAATGATGGCGTTCCCACGACAGTCGGGTCTACGTAACCGGAACGACCCAGATTTATATCTGGCCAAGGACTGTCACTCCAGTAACTAGTAACTGGGGAACTAGTATGCTGCTACAACAACAACATGGCTACAATTTGTCATTTTGTTCGCCAGATATACGTTTTGTCAGTGCACTTGCACAATATTCCTTGATTTATATCTTTACAATGATTAACAAACTAGCTAGTATTAAGGATCTCAATACAGCAGCATTCTCTAAAGATTTTTGTGAACGTTTATAATATAATGTTACAACAATAACTATCAATCAACACCTACACAGCACGTTCCTACGGCAGTCTGTGGGTCTACGTAACCGCAAAGACCCAGATTTATATCTGGCCAAGGAACACATCTCAAAACTCTTTTGGGGAATTTGTATACTGTTACAACAAGAACAACATATACAGCACCTAATTTGCATACGAAGGTGGACCATGAAAGTTCATTGTAAAACAAGAATTTGAATGATTTATTTATACTTTAATTCAGATAAAAGCAAATTATTTTGTCAGTACAAAATGGAAAGTTAAATATGTATGTGTGTATAAATGATGCTACTAAATTACACTATTATATTGGCTTAATTTTGAAGTGCAGTCCAATTAATGAAAACACCAAGCACTTTAAATCTTGGACCAAATAGTAAAAGCAACGTAGACCTTCCGGATCTTTTGACCGGTTTACATCGACAAGAGATCCTGTCTTCGAGGTAGTGAAGGATATATGTTCATCACCAATGACAATTTCCAATTCCTAAGAGCATAATTTATGTTAGGTGCATGCTATTGATATTTCAGTTTTCATTCACTAACCTGTCTGCCCACACGATCCGGTGGAGGCCAGGGTGAATCATCTTCAGCCATAATTTCAGAATCTAATATTATTCTTTTTAACTCTTCCATTACAGACTGATGTACAAAGGCTTCTTTGCGGATCATTGTATCGTTTTTGTAGTTAGAATTGTTGGCATACCGCAATTTACCATCCGGCCGGAACTCGAACTCCAGAAATTCATGACCGAATTTGCCTTTGTGGCCGACGTAGTATCGTAAATAGAAATCCTCTGTTGACATAATACTTTATATATAATGTTAGCAATTAACTTAGATATGTGCGATAAATAAATCCATTCATTTGCGTTATTTACCTAGCTAACCTCTTTTCTCCAAATTTGTATGCCGTGCGAAATGTCAAACTTTCACCTTTTTATTCACGAATGTTGCCAGAGTACTATAATTAACAAATTCACAACATTAGGCCCCTTTCACCAAAGAACCTTAATCAAAGAACGTAAATCTATAAGAAGTGACAACTCGTTACTTTGAAAATGTGTCGCCAAAGAACGTAAATCTACGTAAACCATGTTGCCAAATTACATTTGTTGTAAAACCACTTATGTATGCGATTTTAGAAGTATGGAGTTAACATCAAAATATCATGTGCCATTTGTGCAAAACATGTATGTTTATTTTGTTTTTTATTAAAATAAAATCTTAATCAGCTAGGTAATAATTTAAAAGTTGGAAAGAGCACTGCGATTTAGAAGTTTAGAGAAATAATGGCCAAAGAACGTAAATCTATAAGAGGAGACAACACGTTATAATTGTAGCGAGTGTGAACATCAGGAGCGTGCCTTCTCTTTTCATCTAATCACAAAACGTATTTGGGCAAAAGAGAAAGCACGCTCCTGATGTTCCGACTCGTTACAATTATAACGTGTTGTCTCTTCTCTTCCATATTAAAGAGGAAGTTTGTACAGCTCTTACATAGCGCGTGAATTTAATTCCCATACATTTGTTCAAAATTACGAAAGAGAGAAAATCTGTGCACTTGCGCATGTTAAATGCCGATGGCAAACAAACAAAAAGAATCGCGGCCATCTTTTTTGTTATTTTATCTCTTTATTTCAATAACCAATCGCTTTTTCTTGCTTTCTTTGTCGCCGCAAAACCCAATTTGCGGTGAATTCATTTACAGAACTTGATTTCAAAACGGACGCAAATTCCTCTTGCAAACCTTCTAGACTCACTCGCCACACCTCAGCGCGTTGTCTCTTCTTGTAGATTTACGTTCTTTGGTAGCAGTACATTTTCAAAGTAACGAGTTGTCGCTTCTTCTCGACAAAGAACGTAAATCTATTACGTTCTTTGTTTAGTTTTACGTTCTTTGGATAACTTCCTTTGGTATTGTTACGATTATCCTTGAACCCTCGTCCGGATTACCCAAATACGCTCGGGCTCGTATCGCTGGATTGTTAAATAAATGCTAACGTTGACCAAATTGTAGTACAATTAACTTTATTGTACAACAAACAATTTACAATACTTGCTAATACAGTAAAAAACACTTTACAATACTTGTTAAAGCAATAACAACGCTTTACTACTTGTTAACACAATTAAACTTATAGCTTGCTTATTCGCCACTCAATTCTCCGCTCACTTTACTTGTAGCTTGCTGACTTGTAACTTCGTAACTAACTCACCTCGTGGTGGCGGCGCCCTTATATACCTGCGCTGGCACTTATGGCAACTCTAGAACATTCTGAAGTTTATCGCTCATTCTCTTTCTCTCGCTGTTCGCAGTGTTCATCCAACTTGACGTTTCTCTTTGTGGAACATTCTACGTCATTCCTCGAACATTCTGCCTATTTCTCGTTGTTCGCTTTGTGTTGCCGCAGT